GGACATGAATCGTATTAAAATCGTTAACCATAAACAACGATTCTTTGAGAAAACGGTTAAAACACGGTAAAATATTTACATAAATAAATTTGAATTTTCTTATTCAACATGATAAAAATCGTCGGAAAGTCAGTATTCGACGAGATACAGTACTAATCTATTGAAAAAAGAATTAAAACATTACAGGATATTTACATAAATGAAATGATTTTCTTATTCAACATAGAAGTCGTCGGACAATTAGTATTCAACCAGATTGAATGCTAGTTTAGTAAAGAAACAAGTTCAGATGCGACAGAATAGTAGCATGAATAAATCAGGATTTTTGGATTTAATGATACAAGTCATCAGACCATCAGTACTCAACAAGATACAGTTTCTCGAGTAAATGAATTAGGAGGCGATAGAATACTTATATAAATGGACCATGGTTTTCTGATTTAACATGATAACAGTCATCGAACAATCAGTATTTAATTAGATATAGTACTAGACCATTGGAAAATCGAGTTAGAATACTATAAGATATTTACATAAATGACTCTAGATTTTCTTATTCAACAAGATAGAAGTCGGACAATTAGTATTCAACCAGATACAAGTCCATTAAGAAAGGGTTTGGACGCGATAGAATACTAACATGAATGAAACAGGATTTTTGGATTTAACATCTTAGAAATCATCAGACGATCAGTATTCAATGAGATGGTTTAGCAGTGATAGTTTTTCAAATAAACAATTTAGGATATGATAGGATACTGTAAGAAATTTAGAGGAAATAGGCACAACGGAAAAGTTATCAGCGTTAGGGCTGTGTGGCTTAGTGATTTGACGGACACTCTATCACTGTGGAGTAGACCATGCCTCGGTTTGAATCTTATAGTGTCTTAATATCTTTCTCGTGTTGTCGCATATTTCTTACAATACTTGCATGAATGACAGAAAGCTAGCATAAATGAATCAAGATTTTCGGATTCAACATGATAGTAGTCATCAGTATTCAACGAGATACAGATGATTTTCTCAAGAAAATGAATTAGGACACAATAGGATACTTGCATAAATGAATCAAGAATTTTTGTTTTAACATGATAACAGTTGTCAGACAATTAGTATTCAATCGGATATAGTATTATAATGTTGAAAAAACGAGTTACAACCCTATAGAACATTTACAAAAATGAATTATGATTTCATTATTCAACATGATAGGCATAGTTTAATAAAAGATTCTGTATATCTGATCTGTACAATCACAGATATGAAAAATTTGAATCAAATCTCCTATTTCATTTAATAAATACTGATATAAATTAATAACTTTATTAATATACATCTAGATAAGAAGATATAAATGAATATCGTATTAAAACAGACTTTTTAAGAATCACGAATCTCGATATTGAGATATACATTAATATTTAAACAATGTTAATTACGATATTCAACTTGATACGAAATGTATAACTAAAATTCAAGATTTATTTTCATTAACCACGAATACCTCTTCTGTTATATACTGTGATGAAGATTCTGATCTAGATTTCACTACGGTGGATACAGAAAACTGAAACCAAATCTCCTATTTAATTTGATAAAAAGTTTTCCTCTCAAATTCTATCTATTTTCTTGAGCACGACCCTTGTTAGGATCGCAGCGAGGACGCAGGATCCACACAGTAGAAAGCGAGATTAGTGCTACCGAATTAAGAGTGAACCAGAGTAAGCGAGAAGCGAGCTGCCGAAAGGACCGAGAAGAAGGATTTACTAGACAAGAGTAGAAATATTGTAAAGCTGCCGATCCCCGACATTGTGATACCGAATGAGTCGCATGTGCCGAATTCGAGCCGAGAGGCTATGATCTGTACAAAGAGCTACTGCGAGTAATTAATCTTTTAGCTGCCGCGTGCCGTTCACTCAAACTGCTTAGATTACCGTATTCTGTTTTCGCGTATAGCTGCTCTCTTGTCATAACCTTGTCGCCATGATTCGTTTTGCGCGTAATTGTATGTCCATCGCCATCTTGTATTGAGCCGTGACCTTCCTAATTTCTGCGTTGACGGAGCTACTCGGGTTTCCATAATTCCATATAAAGCTGAGGATCATTTGTACAATGTTTTTGCAGAAAAGTCGTAACGAAGAGTGGCACGCTCACTCGTGCATGGCGCCCAAATTAAGTTAGAGAAGTTTCGCGATAATTCGGTGCATAGCTATTGATTTTGAATATTGAGATAAAATCATTGGCTGTCGAATAATGATAAAATAAAACGCGACAAAGTTGTGCCATTAGTCGAGACTGTGGTCACAATACTTATTACTATTATGTTTTACGTATTACTATCATTATAATTTACACTTCATGTATGTTTTGTACATTTATATACGTATTACAATTATGTTTTATGTACTATTTATTATGTGTTACTATTATCTTAATTTACACTTCGTGTATGTTTTTAGAGTGTATATGTAATTTTTAATATTGTTACTTTGTACATTTATATACATATTCTGTCTCTTTACATATATATTGTTAAAAAAAATAATTATGTTTTGTATACTCCAAATAAAGATAAATGAGATAATAAAAAATATTTTATACATTTATATACATATATTAATATATTTATTATATATATATAAAAAATATACGAATCAAAATTGTATCAAATGATATTTTTGTAAATATTTATAAATTGTGTGATCTATTCAATCTCAGCTATTTGACGTAAACCTTGTCTTCCTTCCTGCGCAGTACTTTCTCCACGAGATACATATCCGAATAAGTAGCGCGATGCAACTCGTGCTCGTAGAACGCTCCAGTGATGAATTTTCCGCTATAATCCTCGAGTAAATAAGTTACGGGATTGGTACGCTATACTTCAATGATGAACACTTCGATGGTCTAATTTGGCGTGTAACTCTTCTCAAAAAACGTCTTGTACTTGCTCATGCGTATCGAATCGCCCATTTTAAATTTTACCGAATCCGCGATTTTTATCGCGCTGTACACCGTGCCCAAGAGTCTTTCGGTGATCGCGGGAGGTACGTCGACAGGTGACATGCCGATAGTGCAATACTTGCGTGCATTGTAATTTGACACGAGACGCGACAGCTTTTCCATATGTCATTCAGCGTGCGATTGAATCGCTCGGCCTGACGCTTTCAACATCTAATACGTGGAATAGTAATTAACGTCGTATTTTTAAAAAATTTTTTGCGCCTTTTTTAAGATTTTCGGCCTTGTAAATCTCCTTCCCCATATCCGTTTGCAAATTTTTCGGATCTTCTTCTCCTTCGAATGATCTCAGCAATAGCCGTCTTGCTTCCGTCTTTGCTCTTGAGCGGTACGGCCTACATGTACTTGCTCAACATCCATGACAGTGAGTATGTAGTGGTAGCCTCTGTTGTAGCTTGAGTACGAGTTCATCTGGACGATATCAGCCTACCACAGATCGTTGTATTCCCGAACACTATCTATGACGCGCTTTCATGAAAAATTTCTTCTCGCCAAAGCATGTATTACGTCCAAGCTCCGCATACATGGAGCTGAGGGGGTGAATGCAACAGGAATCAAATTATTAGACCGATTTGGTCGTATCCAGGCTCCAGACCGCAAGGGAACAATGGGGAAGGACAGACGTAAATCAGGAGACACTACGCTTTGTCCTGAGACTCCTAACGAGCCGGGAGTCGAATGGAGGACAAAGTCGAAACCTCAACTCGTGCTCCGCTAAACGGACATACGAGTCGAACGTACTTTTAATTTAAAGAGCTCCAAACTGGGTCAGTGTGCCGGGAGGACGCACTTTAACGCCAGATGTGCCAGTATGCTCTGACTTTCTGTCATGGAACTTAATCCAAGTGATCGGCGAGAGGGCAAAGTACAACCGCGAGAGAGCTAATGAATATAAGGAAAAATTTTATTTCTTTAAATTGACAACCGAAAGTTTAATTTAATAAATCAATATGATAAAAGGCAATATTTGGTGATATATTTTTCTTAAGTATTATATAATAATAAAAATACAATTTTTGGTTCTCTATTCTAAAATATATGTACGCATTTATGTATGTGTAAGGGTGTGTGAAAGTATCGTGTGGCAGAAGGGAGAAGTTACGGACAGGTTAGCGAGGGAATAAAGAGAAGGAGATTTTGGTGGATTGGAGAGGGTTTGGCTTGATTTTCCTCGGATGGTAATAATAATAGGCTGTTGGAAAAGTTTCTGCAAACAATATGAAAAAAAACATGTAAAATTCGGTAAGTGGCTTTATTGTTTTTTAAAGTATTCGCCTTTAAGACCGATACATTTTTGCATACGCTCGAAGCATTTTTTTCCACTCTAAGGCTGCAACCTGAGAAATCAGTGTACGAAATGTTTCAACAGCTGTTTCAGGCGACTCAAATCGCTCACCACTTATCTTATTTTTAATGTTTGGGAACAAAAAGAAGTCATTAGGTGATAAATTAGGTGAATACGGACAATGAGTCATCAATTCGACATTATTACTGGATAAAAAATCAACGGTTTGACGTGCTGTGTGACAGCTGGCGTTGTCATGATGAAGGATGATGCGACGATTTCGGTTTGTTCTACGCAATTCATTGACTTCTGGCAAACAAATTGTTGTATACCAATCAGTATTTACAAGTCCTTCGATCCTTTAAAGCCACGGTTGTCACATGTCCGGTATAATCGAAGAAATAAGCAATTATTTGCTTAGCAGCACTGCGTGAACGAACAATTTTTATTGGTTTCGGTTCATTTTGAAATACCCATTTTGAAACAATGGATTGTTGTTTACTTTAGGGCTCATACGAATAGATCCATGTTTCGTCCCCAGTAACAATGTTGTAGACCAAATTGATCGACCTCGGTTGAATTTCTTGAGCATTTCTTTGCTTCATTTAACACGAACCTGTTTTTGAGCTTCGGTCAAATTGTGTGGGATCCAACGACTACAAAGTTTCCGTACGCTTAAGTGATCATGCAAAATCGTATGTATTGCTTTCATGTCAATGCCTAAGGATGCCTGAATCTCGCGATATGTTATATGTCGGTCTCGCTCAATCATTTCACGTACAACATCAACATTAGTGGCAACAACAGACGTGGATGGATAACCTTCACGGAATTCATCACTAAGAAAGGTACGTCCACGCTGGAATTCAGCAAACCAATTATAAACAGTCCTATTGGATGGTGCTTCATCCCCAAAAGCCAAATGAAGTCGATCGATACATTATTTTCGAAGTTAGATTACATTTGTAATCGTAAAAAATCATTGCC